GCACATTTAGCTACATCTACTAGCACATTTAGCTACATCTACTAGCATATTTAGCTACATCTACTAACATATTTATCTACATCTACTAGCACATTTAGCTACATCTACAAGCATATTTAGCTACATCTACTAACATATTTAACTACATCTACTAGCACATTTAGCTACATCTACAAACATATCTAGCTACACCTACTTGCATATTTAGCTATTTCTACTAGAAAATTTAGCTACTTCTGCTAGCATATTCAACTACATCTACTAGCATATTTAGCTACATCTACTAGCATATTTAGCTACTTCTAACATATTTAGCTACATCTACTAACATATTTAGCTACATCTACTAGCACATTATCTATATCTACTAACATGTGAACGGTGAAGCGATGAACAACCTGAAAAGCTCTGAGGTGTGTCAGTACACAGTAATAAGTTCGGTGGTGTTTTGTTAAAAGAGGTGGGACACAATCTTATTAACCTTAAAGCAAACACAGAGTCCAGCCAAAGCCTTAAATTCCTCCATCACTGAGCTTGGGTTAATTGCAGATAAAAGCATAAAACTGAAGACAAACAAATACTATAAAGCTGTGACCTCCATACACTTGGAATCATCCCTGATGTTCTCGTCACTGTTTTCAATCTTTCTGAGGATGCAGCATCTCTTCTCCGGTGGTTTATTGTAGTCCACACACAAAGTAGGATGCAGGTTTTCCTCCGTCAGCCATTTGTCAACAAAGTGAAATGAGCACACATCCAGCGTTTTGGGTGGTCTCTTCAAGTTCACATTTTTCAACCACATTCTTCTTAATTCCTCATCTGTAGGTAGGAGATGGAAACTATACTACTTTTCCCAGAAACACTCTTTTTGTTTTGGGTCCATGTTCAATAATCTGTTGTTGTAGCCGTTGATTTAGTTTGGTCTGGTTGTTCTGCAGCCGTGAACACAGCAGGTACCTGAACTCACCACGGCTCTTTTAGTAAACTTTATTGTTGTTAAATAAATGTGAACAAACTGTTGAACTGAATGCAAGTGCCAGTAATTTTCAAATAAAGTGCAGTCCGTGCTCCGCTACCGTGGTTCATTCAACCTTTATTTATACAGGTTAGTCCCATTGAGCCTCAGGGACTCATTTACAGGAGAGACCTGAATTTTAACAGAGTGTTGGCAACAGTGGACAACAACAATAGGCAATCATAAAGGATGCATACAAATTAAATTTTCTTTTTAAACCAATGCTTACTGCTACTTCCTGTGCTGGACAGGAAGTTGTACCCAGAATCATTTATACAGTAGAACCCCCAGGAAACGGTGGATAATATAATAATAATAATTTAAAAAAAACTCTGCTCGTTTTTCCAGGCTGTGAGAAATCTTGTTGCTGCTGTCTTAAAGGAAAAAGGATCAAATGGGCAAATCACTCAGTCTTCCACTCAGGTGAGTTGATTTAGAATAACTTTTAACAAACTACAACTTCATATCATAACAAGGCAGAAATGTAGGTGCCTAGAAAAAATAAATATCTGTATATCTGTAGTCTCGTTGTCTACAGTGAAGAAAACGTTGGTTACGTACTGTAACCCCAGATTCTATGACTATAGGCGTAGCCCTTTAAGAGCTGTTGCTTAGTGGGTTTATCCCATCATGCAAAGCATTGCACTGACAAATTTAGTCCACGCCCACCTGCTGTGTGGGCCCCACCCGGTCCGTATAAATTACGTTAAGAGCGGGTAATTGGCTCCCAAATTGCTTTTCTTCAGCCATTTAGGAGCCAGTGAGGCCAGATGCTTAAAGGGCTATGCCTATACTCATAGAATCTGGGCTTACAGTACGTAACCAACGTTCTATTTCGTATAGGCTTCACCCTTTAAGAGCTGTCGCTTAGTGGGTTAAGGGCGAAGCAGATGTGGTCCTCGCCTCACTGGGTCCATTCAAATACCATACAAAGCGGCAGCTTGCCCAAAAAAACGTCTTGTTACTCAGCTCTCCATGTGCATAATTACGTGTTGCATAATTATGCGTACCATGCACAGACGCATGCTGTGTAGTTATGCGTTCTGAGTGCATGAACGCCCTGGAAACTTTCAACGGAAAAAGGAAGATGCTGAAAAAGGGTCATGAATCAACAGATTCACGGCTGAACAATATGAACAGATTAATAATAACAAGTGAACTGATTATTAATCAAATGAACTGATTGGTAACAATAGTCATGAACTGATTAGTGACAATAGAACCAAAATAACAGTCACAACTTGTGCTGATAACAACATCTCACACTGTAATGCATGCAGTCAGATGTGAGTTTAAACGGGGTTCCCTGAAACAACAATATTCATTCCAAAAAAGTTCAATCTGGTCCTCTGGACATTCAAAAAACAAGAAAACAAAAAAGACAAAAAACAAAACAAAGCAAAAAAAAATGTAGAAACGTTTCGTCTCTCATCCGAGAGACTTCCTCAGTCTGAGGTGCTGTATTCAGCTCAGTCTCTTAAATAGCACCTTCTCAGAGTGGATCAACCAGTTTGCTGCTGACAACCAAAACCAGCTGATCACATGGTCAAGAAGGACCATCAGCCTAACAATGGATCATTAGCACACTGATGGCTGTTTACTATTCACAGGGGGTTGAGTGATACTAGCAATCACAGCATTGTAAGAGGGGGACAATTGAACACGTAGGCCTCCACCCCTGTTTAATGATGGACGGTTTCTTTTCACAAAGATAGCCTCCTTTACTCCTCTCTCAAACCTTCGTTCCTCTCTGTCCAGGATGTGAACATCCTCATCCCTGAAAGAGTGACTGCTGGCCTGGAGATGAGTGTAGACTGCAGAATCCTGGCCTGATGATGTTGATCTTCTGTGCTGGACCATCCTTTTGACCAGTGGCTGTTTAGTTTCCCCGATGTAAGACTGATCACAGCCCTCCTGACACTGAACAGCATACACAATATTACTCTGTTTGTGCCGGGGGACTGGATCTTTGGGATGAACCAGTCTTTGCCGTAATGTATTTTGGGGTTTAAAAGCCACTGGGACGTTATGTTTAGAAAATAATCGTTTCAGTTTCTCTGATACTCCCTCAACATACGGAATGACCACTGGTCTGGGCCTGGGTTCCTCCTTTTCACCTTATGGCTGACAGGAGTCCTGTTTTGGTTTCTTCTCTGCTTTCAGGAAGGCCCAGTTAGGATATCCACATTGCTCTAGAGCCTGTCTTATGTGGGATTTCTCCTTCTGCCTGGCTCCTGAGTTAGTGGGATGCTGTCTGCTCTGTGATACAGAGTCCTGATAACTCCTAACTTGTGCTCCAAAGGGTGATGGGAGTCAAACTGCAAATACTGGTCTGTGTGTGTGGGTTTGCGGTACACCTCGGATTGCAAAAGTCCTCTATCAGAAACTGAGACCTCACAGTCCAAGAAAGCCAACCTGCCATTTTTTACATCTTCTCGTGTGAACTTGATGTATTTATCCACAGAGTTGATGTGGTCAGTAAAATGTTGGACTTCCTGAGATTTAATTTTAACCCAGGTGTCGTCAACATACCTGAACCAATGACTTGGTGGTGTCCCTGAAAATTAGTTGGCAGCTCAGAACACCACATACAGAACACCATGGACTTTGTGGATAAGGTGAGGGATGTCATCATGGAGACTGATGAAACAATGGTCTCTTTTGATGTCACATCAGTCTTTACGTGCATTCCTGTTGAGGATGCAGTAGAGGTGGTCAGTTCAAGATTAAAATCAGACACCACTCTGAGCAGCAGGACCACGCTTTCCACAGAACAACTGTGCCAACTCTTGAAACTGTGCCTGCAGTCAACCTACTTCACATATGGGGAGCAATATTATAGGCAGAAACATGGGTGTGCTATGGGGTCTCCAGTTTCTCCTATTGTTGCCAACCTGTAAATGGAGGAGGTAGAAAAGAGAGCCTTGACGTCCTTTTCAGGGACACCACCAAGTCATTGGTTCAGGTATGTTGATGACACCTGGGTTAAATTAAATCTCAGGAAGGCCAACATTTTACTGACCACATTAACTCTGTGGATAAATACATCAAGTTCACACGAGAATATGTAAAAAAAATTGTGCATTGCGTAACACGTCAACTTCTGCACAGGACAGAGCAGATGGAAAGATGTTTGTCTGATTTATGGGGGGAGGGGGGAAACCCTCCAATGATATCACTCTTGATTGAAAAGAGCTTGTGATGTTTTAGGCATAAAAGTTGGATTCGGTCTTAGATCAGCTGAGCTGCCATCAGCCTGAATTCTAAGACATGACAGAGTGACAGAAAGGGCAGATAAATCACTCATCCTCTTAGCGGATGTTAAAGCCAGCAGCAGGGCTGTTTTAAGAGACAAGAATTTAATTGGAACCTGATTCAGTGGCTCGAATGGAGCTTGATCAGGGCCCGCAGGACCAGCGTTAAATCCCACTGTGGAGCAAGTGGGCGTGAAACAGGCCTGCGTCTCTGTACACCTTTTAAAAAATGCTTCATCAGCGGATGATTAAAAGCTGTTCTGTCTCCGAAACCTTCGTGACAGGAAGAGATGGCTGCAGCGTACATTTTAATCGTGCTGAATGCCAGATTTCTGTCCATCAGCTGCTGCAGAAAAGACAGCACGTCGCCTAGTGGACATGAGGTGGCCTCTACACTTTTCTCTGTACACCTTTTTTTTTTTTTTTTTTTTTTTG